AATCCTACTTCCGTAGTGATACTGCCTCGGAAACCCAAGGAGGGGTCGCTATGAGTCAGGGCTGACTCGACGGCACATAACAACAACAACATATATATATATATACACACACATACACACACACACACACACACACAAAGATGAGGTTGGACAGACATCTCTGCTTTTCTGTCCACCTTTTTCTCTTATTGGAGAAACTTTGAGAAGAGAAACCAAAAGCCTTCGAAAAATGCCTCCCAGGTGAACTCAGTGTGGCCAAGAAAAAGATGTCTCAGTACCTTCAAGTACTAACTTTGGGAGACCCTCAACTCCAGCCAAAACAATAAATAGCTCCCATGCTATTTTCCAGAGGAACCAATGAAATGTTCCTACTCTTTATTTGAAAACAGGAAAGAATGTTTTTATCCCCTCACCTGTGAATGTGGAGGAGAGGACCACCCCACGCTGGGATGCCTCTTATCCCAGCAGGCAGCTGCTTCAGCTTTCTCTGGAAATATGCAGCTATTTGAGGAGTTTGTGCAAATGCTGGCTGTCAGCACTCTTTCCAATCAGGGAAGCAAGCTTTCTGACCAGCTTGTGTGTTGATCTAGGCAGGAATGCGATGAATGAAAGTAGCCAAGTGTGGTTGTCACTTCAGCCAAACCTTAGATGACAATTCGGCTTTGGAATTACGTGTACCCAAAAGTGGGGTCAATTCGGCCAAATCAGAGTGCCAGAAATAAAAAACGAATGAATCGGGAACATTCCCAGGGCAGCCGGCACATGGTGCTGCCTGCTTTGTGGTGAAGTCAAAAATGTTGTTGTCTGTACGTGACATCAGTGCTGTTTCTGGCCACAGAGTCTGGACTCCTTATGATCTCATCTCGTTTCAGGCTTGCATGAAAAAGCCTTGCTGCAGCCATGACCTGAAGAAGGAAGTCGACCTTCTTCAGTACCTTCAGGTGAGCCCACCTGTCTCAGGGCTCCAGAAGGTGGCGCTGGACATCCTGAACCTCTCCCTGTCCTGGCTGGAGGACACTGAGCGGCTCCTCAGGAACGTCGGGATCCAGTTATCTGGCTCTGACAAAGGTTACTGGAGCTTTTCTTTCACGTGCCAAAATGTCATGTTGAATCTTATCATGAGGCAACATCTGTTGAGGAAGGGTCCTTAGGTAGGGAGCCAAGTGTGCTCTTCTTCACTTCTCCACTTGAGAAGTGATTTTTCTTTTGAAAAGTACACAAGTGGGACCAGGACAGGGAAGAAAAATGAGATGAGACAGAAGCCAAAGGAAAATTAAATCAACATCATGCCAGACTCCGTCTCTCAGCACTAAGTACTGTAATGGTTTGTGTGTAATTTCCAAGACATTCTCCCACAGAAATGGCTACATCATTCTAGGCAAGTCATTTGCCCTCCCCGTGCCTCAGTTTTCTTACCTATAAAACGGGGATAATAGGAGTACCCACTTCCTAGATTTGTTGTGAGGATTAAAATAATATGTGTCTATTCTGACACAAAGGAGCCCTGGTGGGCAGTGGTTAAGTGCTCAGCTGCTAATCAAAACAGCAGTGGTTCGACCCCACCAGCTGAAAAAAAGATGAAAGTCTGCTTCCGTAAAGATTTAAAAAAAAAAAAAAAAAAACTAACACTCGTTGAGTTGATCCCAACTCATAGCAACCCCTCCTTTGGCTTCCAAGGCGATATCTCTACAGAAGTAGATTGCCCAGTCTTCCTTCTGAGGAGTAGCTGGTGGGTTTGAACTGCCAGCCTTCTGGTTAGCAGTCAATACCTTAGGCACTATGCCACCAGAGCTCCTTCTGTAAAGATTACAGCTGTGGAAAGCTATGGGGCAGTTTTCCTATGGGGCAATTCTACTCTGTCCTTTAGTGTTGTTATAAGTCAGAATCAACTTGACAGCAATAAGTTTTCATACTGTTTGGAAGTCTTTGGGTGATTCCTATGGTCAGTGCTCTCAGCTGCTAACCAGAAGGTTGGAGGTTTGAACCCACCAGCAGCTCCACGAGGAAGAAGACCTGACAATCTGTTTCCATGACAATTACAGCCTAGGAAACTCTATGGGGCAGTTATACTCTGTCCTATAAGGATTGCTGTGAGTGAGAATCAACTCTACGGTCACAAGGTTTTGTTGTTGTTGTTATTATGGCATAGAATAGACATTAGCTCCATGTTTATTTTTTGATTTTACCAAAAACAGTGGTGTCATATCATACCAAAGAGTTTTCTCAGTTTTGTTCCTAATGGTCCATCACAAATGCCCTTCTGTGTCAGTACATACAGATCGACATCATCAGATGGTGAGGATGGTGAGGAATTCCATTGTGTGGTTTGTGCCATAATTTATTTAACTAACCCCCTATCATGAGCATTTAAGGTGTTTCCAGTTTTCCACTCTTACAAATAGTGCTGTGATGAGCGCTGTGGCACCTTTCTCCAAATATTTCCTTACGATGTTGTCCTAGAAGTGACAGGATATGAACTACTTTCATTCAGTGAAGATTTATTACATGTCTACTAGACGACAGGCCCCACACAGGGCGGAAAATGAATGGGATTCTTCGAAGCAGGTAGAATCCAGGTCAAGGGCACACGAGTGTCCTATAAAATTGTTCCCACTTGGCTATATGTTTGAAATTTTTCATAATAAAATATTGTGGAAACAACAGGCACTATCCCTGCCTTCATAGAGCTTATAGTTGAGTGGGGAGGTCAGGGTTGAGAGTGGGCATTCATCAAAAAACCACACCAACAGATGTAAAACTAAACTAGGGGCAAGTGCTACGAAGGAGAAGTGCAGGGCATGTGCAGGACGCATAGGAGTTCTTTGCAAAAGAGGAGCAAGGGGGGCATTCTGGTCAGAGGGAATAGCCTGGCTAAGCCCCTGGGTTGTGGAGGAGCACAGAGAACTCAAGAGGTTAAAAGAAACAAGGACAAAGTGTGGGTGCGAGGCAAGGCTGGCGAGGGCAGCCAGCCGGGTCTGTACCCTGTAGACACTTGCAGGGCCTCAGTAAGAAGCTTTGCTTCATGCTAAACCCACCAGCCACTCCTCGGAAGGAAGGTTGGGCAATCCTACTTCCGTAGTGATACTGCCTCGGAAACCCAAGGAGGGGTCGCTATGAGTCGGGGCCGACTCGATGGCAAACAACAACAACAACAACAAGAGCAGCAAGAAGCCAATGAAAGGTCTTAAGTAAGGAACCAGTGGAATTAGATTTGCATTCTGAGACCATCATCTTGGCTGCAAGTGAAGAATGTGCTAGAAAGGTAGCCAATAGGGAGCACCAGGAAACTAGTTAAGAGATGATGGTGGCTGATCCTATACTAGGTCAGGGATAGGGCTAGAGAAAGAGAGAATATTCCAGGGCATTTAAGAGGAAAATCAACAGGCTTCCAAAGTAGAATTGGAAATGGTGGTAAGGGAAATTCTACACAATCTCCAGGTTTCTGGCTTGTGTAGAAGGACAGATGTGATTCCTTCACTAAACTAGGATTGCTGGCTGAGGGCAAGGTTTGAGGGGGAAGATGAGTGTGAGGGGCCCATGAGACATCCAAGATAAGGTGTCAAGGAGGCAGTTGTCACCCTGGATGCCTAGTCTGGAGACAGATATATCCTCAGCACCTAGCAGAGCAGGTGCCACATATCAGGTACTTAGTAAATATCTCTGAATGAACAAATGGATAAATAAGTAAAGCCCTTGGTGTGGATGGTATCACTTAGGAAGAAATCATTGCATGAGAGAGGGAGAGAGCCCAGAGCCTTGAAAAACTCCAACCTTGTGAAGATTGTTGGTATTCCTCGCCATACCACCTCTAGAGAGGGGACATGAATTTGACCTTCTGGCAGCAATGAATGAGACTAGAAGAGTGATCTTCAACTCTGTTGCTTCAACATCCCCAGCCAGGATGTCTCCAAGGCAATCCAGAGGTGGTATAAAAGTCTTCACAAATAAAAAGCAAAATCAAAAACAAGATTAACTTTAATTTTTATACACGTGCCTGCCTTCCTCATAACATAGAGCGAAGGGGCGTGGTGAGGGGCTGGGCATGGTGAAGAAGAGGGTACAATTTCCTGCTGTTCTCCCAACAACCCAGTGGCTCCCACCTCAGTGCCACTGCTATTGTACTCATGGCAAAGTCTTCCAGCTTCCATGAAATTAGGTGAAAACTGGATCACAATTCTAGTTGTTCTTCAGGATTGAAACTAAAATAAAGACAAACCATGACCTCCATCCTGGTAATAGTGGCCAACTTATGTGTACACTGTCTCTTTGCCACTCTTGAGACCATTTTACTCATTGCCAACTATGTCTGTAAATCTAGCCATAGGTTACTATGAAGAAGCATGGGCTGTAAAGCTAAGCTGTCAGACCAGTAATTCCAGAAAGGCTGAGAAAGATTGGCCCCAGGCAGCATTTATCAGACCCGCCATCTTTTTCTCCTGACTCATAGAGTCATAAGACTTGAATAACATCATGGTAGTTAAGGTTATGTGTCAACTTGGCTGGGCCTGGTTTTGAGTGGCTGGGCAGCTGGTGGTAGTTATTCCCCATGATGAGACTGGCAATCAACTCCATGGTGCAATCTTCCAGGAGCAGCTGAGTAGCTGCTTTAGGGATGTGGTCTGCTTCCCATATATAAGGAGAAGCTTTAAAAATGGTCTGCAGCTTTTGGCATGCTTGAATCCTGTATGTAGCTGAGTCATTATTCAGCAGCCTGGCATGTTATCTGCCAATCTTGGGATGCTTAATGGACTTGAATCAGTGGCCTGCTGTGTGGGTAATATTGGCACTATGCTTTTTTACTTGTCAATCTTAGGTTTGTTGGTTTCAGCAGCCAGTAGCTGCCTGAGTGAAGAGATGCCTCTAGCTTCAGTGGGCTGGGAGCAGGAGGGAGAGCTGAAGCCCAAGGATGAGGGGCTTTCACCCAGCCCCTAGAGCCTGGCACTTTGAACTTGGATGTTTAGCCTCCAAAACCATAACAGAATAAACTCCTGTTTGCTAAAGCTATCCCATTTGTGATGTATTTTCTGTTAGAGCAGCACAAAGTTACCAAAACAAACATTAAACAGGTCTCTGCAAAATCCCTCCCATGTTAATATGCACTGTTGATCTCTAAGAATGAGATAAAAAGTGGGGGAGTTCCCAAAACACAGTTCCTGCTGCCACAGACCTCACCTAATGTCTCTTGGAATCATGTTCTTCTGTGGAACACCTGTACTCCCTGGTTGGTACAAACAGTTAATGTGGTACTCGACTGCTAATGGAAGGGTTGAGGTTCAAGCCCACCTGGAGATTTCTCAGAAAAAAAAAAAAAAACAAACTCAATTTGACTCATAACAACCCCTCCTTGGGTTTCTGAGGTGGTATCTCTACAGAAGAAGATTGCCCAACTCTTCTTCCAAGGAATGGATGGTGGGTTTGAACTGCCAGCCTTCTGGTTAGCAGTCAAATACCTTAGGCATTATGCCACCAGAGCTTTCTCAGAAGAAAAGGCCTGGCTATCTATTTCCAAAAGATCATAGCCTTGGGAAATCCTGAGGAGCACAGTTCTGTGACACACATGGGGTCACCATGAGCCAAGGGCCAAATAGATGGCAGCTAACAACAAAAATAACATTATTGGGTGACAGCATGAGCTGCCAAGAAGGAGAAGTCTAGCAGGACTCAAGTATATATTGGTACTGACGGTCTGAGGGTTGAAGGCTTTACCATGAGGCCTGGCCAGGAATTTAAGAAACATCTGGTGGTGTCTCGGGAGGAACCTTGAAAGTTAGCTCCACATTCCTCCTGCCTGATTTCTCAGGCTTCTTTTGATAAAGGGGGAAAGAAAAAAAAAAGACTTTTTACATTTTTCTCTGCAAGTTCAGTTGTTTGTGTCTATTTCTGCAAGATTTTGTTGCAAATAAAAGGCTTCCTGGGATGCACCTCTTCCAATGCACACACATTTGCCTATCTAACCACTTACTCTCAAGCCTCCAATCTCTTCTAAAAGAGAATGACACCTAGATCTGACTTCTGGTTCAACCACATACCAGCTCTGGAGCTTAACCTCGCTGAGCTTTGGTTGCTTC